ATATTCCTTACACTGAAACACCGTTTGATAAAATACATTAACAATGCCTTTTCCTAAATATGATCAGTCTCTATATTAATAGTCTATAGAAGTGATAGCTTAGTAACTGATGGAGCAGTAAGTAGAACAGATATTTCTTTCGTAAAGTCTCACACAAGATCACAAAACCTGATTCCATTCTATTTAAAACATTTATTGTGTAAGCCCACTTTCGCACACGCCAAGCCTAAAATTGCAACATCATTGATTTTTCTTTTTCATTAAAAAATAATAAACATTTAATAACACTCAATAATTAGATGCAAGACAAACACACTTAGGAATAAAGAGTTTAAATAGCAAGGTAATAATGTAATGAACTTGCTATTATCAAGTCTATAAATTGATTAGAAACAATCCATCAAATCTAATAAGATGAAAATACTCTAGATGCGAAATAAATATAAATGCATAATATATATATATATATATGCTAAAGCATCGGACGGCGAGCTCTCGGGGTGCCTTCCCCTGCCAATCAATCTGGTATGCCTGAGGACAGAACCTTGTTCTGGCCCGTGCGAAAGATGCATTGATCCGGCGGCAGCTGACCGATCAGGAACTGACGCATTTGCTCTACAGCGTGGCGTGAATGTCCGGTGCCGTGGAAGGCAATGGTCGCATCTCTTCCGGCATGGTCCATGATGACGTCATCGCCTCCAGGATGCTCGCGCAGAAAGTGCGTAACATCATAGACCCGATCGTAGATGACAATCCAGCAATCGTCGAAGCTATCATGATGTGCCACCTCCTCCAGCGTTATCTCCGGCACAGCCAACTGCAAGTCGATCTTCGCCTTGGCCTTCTCCACCAGAATCGCATCGCTGGCATCCGATTTGTTGATGCCCAGCGGGCCAATGCGCAGCGTTTGCAGCAAATTTGTCAGTGCGAATGCCATTTGGTTCCGGTAATTGAGTCTTACAAATGGAACTGGACGGCGCTGCCTCAACTTTCACTTTTTATTTTGTTTGCAAGACGGGCGCTTATATAGTTTTGCTTTATATATATATATTTATATTGTGCTCTTATCGCGTGCCAATTGGAGCGTCAACTAGTCTCCCTCTCTTTCTCTCTCTCTCTCTCTCTCTCTCTCTCTGGCTCTGTCGATCTGTTTGATCTTTGGTTTCTTTTGGGCTTGGCTGTTGGACCGGTCCGGTATTTGGTTGTGCCTCGTGTGGCTACTGGCAATCGAGTGTCGATCGCGGCATCAGCCGTAATCACTTTATAACCGACAACACGTGAATCTCGAGCTGAAGCTCTAACTCGCTACGAGCGCTGATAAGGTTTCCAGCGACCGACCGACCACGAGCCGCAGCCACAGCCAACGAATGGTTGGTGCCTAGACAAATTGTTACATACCCATACGAATATATATTTCGACTATCAAATTTAAAAAACTTGCGCAATTATCAGCTCACGATGCGATGTGCGTGAAAGTATTTCTGAGAGAGCTCAGCACAACATTTGATACCCTCTATAGGGAAAGGAAGAGTGAAATATGAGTGAGTGAGCTCTGTGAAGATTTACATAAGCTAACTAAGAACTTTCTAGACGAAATATAATACTTATTATGATTATATATTTTCTTGCATATGCTCAAGAGTTCAGCTCAAAGAATTGACTGATAGGGAATACATAAAACTGTTAGTATAAAGCGGAGATAATTATAAAATAATTTGAGGAATTTTCAATCACATCAAAGTAAAAATCGGCAAAATAAGCTTTGCAAAAAAATAAAAATAACAAGTAAGAAAGCTCTAGTCGAGACTGCTCGACTACTAGATCCCCTGAACCCTCCAAGCAACTGATATTTCAATAATAATTCGCACACGCACACGCATACAAACACGCACATATACAGGCGATTGCGCTTGGGTTGCTCTGCAGTGTTGGCAATATTTTGAGAATTTATTAAGTATAAAAAACCATTATACCCTGATTTCCCATTTTCAATGGGTTCAGGGAATAAAAAGTGTGTATGTATATGTCTCCGTGTTGGAATATCTTTCAACCTTGACATTTCTTATAGCCAAATAGTGTATCCAATTCAATTCGATTCTCTTTTGCTTCGCCAATTTGCTGCATCAGTTATGGGCTCGACTTGATCTATAAACTAACTAATACAGACACACACAGATCAGTATATAATCCTGCTCTGCAGCACTTCTGGTTAGTTGTTTTGAGTTTGTCTTTCGATACAAACAGTAAAAATGAAGTTCGCAGCTGCTCTTTGCCTATTTCTCGCTCTCTTTGGCCTGTCCCTCGCTGATTGGTTTCGTAAGTCTGAGTAACTTATCCAAAGAGATGAATCTAAATTTGAATTCATCTGCAGACAACTGTGTCGACAAGCCAGGAGTAAATGATGTCATTGGTTTTGTATGCGCGGATGCTCCTGTTATCGTTTGGTCCTTCTACAAGGAAGATAAAACATGCAAACCATTTGAATTTACTGACTGCTCGAGCAGTGGGAATCATTTCCCCACTAAAGAATACTGCGAAATGGCATGTGTTAACGACAGTTAGAAAAGAGTAAATATTGTAATATGAATAAATCAGCTTGCTTGATGAATCTGAGGCGTGGCGTTTGCTTCTTAACAATATTATACGAATTTATTCGTTAAATTTAATTTCTAGACGTACAATCCTAATGAAACTTTCAGAACATAATGTTCAAATGTATGTTCATTGCAAATCACAAATCCCTAGTATGTATTTGAAATTCGTTTTTTACAAATTGGTGGCGAAGGAGGCGTAATATCCAAAATCTGTAAATTACAAAATGTTTGTATTCATCATATGTATATATACAGTAAATCTGAAGCTTCCAGGTCTAAAAGTGTACAAATGAGTATGAAAAACCAAATCGATTTGTCGATTATTCTCGATAAAAAAATTATCGAATGGTTTATCGAACGAATAAAGCAAACGCTTACTGCGTATGGTATGCACGAGTATGCATGCCAAATTTCAGCTCTCTAGCTTTTTTATCTTCTGAGATCGACGCTCTCATACGGACAGACGGACGGACGGACAGACAGAAAAACAGGGCTATATCGACTCAGCTCGTCGTGCTGATCAAGAACATATATACTTTATGGGGTCTGCGATGGTTCCTTCTGCCCGTTACCTACTTTTTCACAAAAACATTATACCCTGATTTCTCGTTTTTAATGGGTTCAGGGTATAAAAATAAATAAATAAATTCTCAACATAATCAAAACTTGTTAATAAACAAATTCTTTGATCTCGGAAGATTGTAGGAAATAAAAAATAATAATAATAATAAAAATATGAATAAATTAAATACAATATTCAAAGTAAATACTTATGTATTACATTTTCAATTCAACAAAAGTAAATCAATGTATTTTGAAAGTAAAATTCAATGTAATTCCAGCAAAAGAAAAGATCAGTGTGTAATCATTGAAAATATATTGCGATTGTATATCATTTCACGATTTACAGACAACTAACGATTGACTTAATTAATTAATTGCGAGCTATTAAAAGCGTATTTAAATGTTTTACGCTTTATTTATTGCTTACTTTATTGAGTCAGACATGTACATATAGATGTAATCAAGTATATATACATATGCATAAATAATACAACATTGTTTGTGTTTACAATTTGTGTTTGCAATTAATACAAAAATATAAATACTATATTACTATGTAAAAAAAAATCAAATAAAATATAAAATAAATATTAATATTTTGTTGCTTTACATATACATATATATTATCATTGTATACGTACACATATCACAATTTGTATAATTACCTGCAGATCGGTTTATTATATATTTTATTTGATCAAAAAAAAAAAATTTTTTTTTTCTACAATAGACAATAATAACCATATATACATTTCTTGTAAAAAATAATATTAATAGGCGAATACTAGTAAATCTAAACAAATGTAATTTGCGACATATGGTAGTCTCGTCTTACAACTTCGGATACGCCTACTTGGCGCGTGCTCAATCATAAAAACCATATCACGCTTAGCAGAGGTGCTTCTATTTACGATGTTAATGATTTCCAAATCCCGTAAAAAAAATATAAAAATAAAAATAAATAAATAATTAATTAACAAAAATAACATGTATCTATATACACATATATACCCATTGAGAGTATGGTATAGGCTAAGTACTACGACAATGATGATTATGCATTATGCAGGGGAAGCTAACGACTTTATCATTCTTATTTGGGTTCAACTTTGATCGAGTTACTCTAAGGCACCTTCATCATTCTAAATAAATTTCAATTGTGACGTCCATTGAAATCAGTAATTTTTAAGCTCAAGGCTGATATTTTGGGAATATTTCAAATTGTGCGAGTCATGCTTTATATAATATAAAAGAAAGCCAAAAATGTCAGTATATTGATTAAGTTGAATTATCAATAAAGAGTCTTTATCAACAACAATGACAACTAGAGCTTAAGTTCTGCTCCACACTAGTTTGAGTCTCGAATCCGGATTTTATATAATACTATATTTAATTTAGTAAGAGCAATTGTATATTTGGTAAAGTATCTATCAATTTATCTATGTATAAAGCAGCTGCAATATTTTGAGAAATATTAAAGAGAGAGTATTGATCGACTTGACCATTAAATATTTTAATAAATATTTTTGCAACATATTATTATATTACAACGCAATTTGGCATCAAATGAATAATAACAAAAATTAGCACAAATATTTGTGATTAAAAATTGCTGTGAAATATAAACCCTATGCAAAATTTCCCACTGAAACTCATTGCTGATAGTGTGAGAACTTTGTCAACATGTTGGGTTTTGTTGTCATCGAAAAACTAAGCCAATGTTAAGATCAATTGAATGCTTTGGCTTAGTCATAAGACCACATAACCACAAAAGTCAGATGCGTAATTCTTAGTCGATGTATTGCGTTTGCGTTTCATCAAACTGGGTTACGCGGCTTGACTCTGGCTTTGGAGGTCGAGACGAGCATGTGTTTGCCAACCGCAATCCATATCATGTTTCGTATTTGAACTTGAGATAATATAAAGCCAACTTAGCGCTAATTAAGCACTTAGATTTTTTTTTTTTCTATCAGTTGCAAACCATTTTAATGTATATTACGAATAGGAAAACGATTGAGTGTAGAAAATGTTTTAAGGTTTCGGGAACACGAAATACTCTGAAATACTCTGTGATTGCTGGTCATTCCATCCACATGCAGTAGCAGCTGTTTTCCACATTACAGGGTATGCTTGGTCGAAGTATAGTTTCACTGTGCTCTTATCAATTGCCAATGTATAATCAAATTTAAGTGCAATTGTACGACAGATATTATGTGTGACCGAAAGCAGCCGCAATCGCATATCAAGTTCATTGTCATTTGAAAAAACAAATACAACAATAGAAAACATAACAAAACAGAAATATACGGTCAAGAAATAAATATTTTAAAAACATTTGTTCCTTATCAATTAATCATGAATGAGCTGACAATTTTTATTATATTATTTAGTATCTATATTTAAATTTGTTGACTAGAAAGCACGAATCAATATGAATATATTTTTTCCTTTTTGTTTTTCTTATTTTGCAGTGATTTATTATATAAACAATTTTTGTTTTGCTATATGCTATATTCTATATGAAAAGTATTAAGATATTTATTTTATTGAAATGACCTATATAATTTTATTTATCTATCGTTTATTCATTACATTTTTCATATATATTCATATTAAATTTCAGTTATTTATTCAATTCATCAGTTTTATCAATATCGAATTCAGTTATTTATTCAATTACCATTTTTTGGCCATGTGGCAACGCCAAAATTAACCATACTTCACTGATGAGCTTTTGCTGTGCTTTTGCCAGCCAGCCACTGACATTGAGCAACAATTGTCTTGACCGTGAGCGTGCGACAGCTGTGGCTTATGCGAAAAGCTTTGCATTTAAAAAGCTTTTTGCTACACGCAACAAACGTTGCATATTT